AAAAAAGCTCCCCCCCCTGAAAAAGGAAAGAACAACGTATTATTAACTTTTCCACGTTCAAAGCTATGCCCCACAGACGCTACTCACTTCCGTTACTCGATCCGAAAAGAATTCTTCCAGCGCACACTATACTACACGTCATGACATCACAGCAGACAAGTGAAACATGCACGCAGAGGACATACCTCTGCCGAGGTCTTGTGTCGAGCCAGGTTAGACCATGATATATGTATGGCTATATAATTTATGTTATCGTCTTCCTCCACCTTTTACTGTCGCCGTCGTCTGTTGCCTACTCATAAGCTTTGTGACGTCACGGTATGGTAGTTTCTGGGTTTCTTATCACTGGTCCATTAACAGCCAATCAACGGCGCGTATGCTTGCTGTCACGGACTTGTAGCCCAGTCCTCTCTATCTTTACTTTGGACTTCAAACGCTAGCAATGTATGGGAGACACAGCAAGTTTTCCGCCTTAGCATGAAGAAATAGAGGTAGAATTATGGATTTATTTTTCATTCATATTTCATGTTGTATATAGTCTCTTAGTTAGAAATTCGGACTACTTTGGGAAACTACCGACTTTGTTAAGTATGTCTCCGTTGAAGAACCATGGAACTACAAATTTCCAAATCTTATTCAAAGATGTTTTTGTTCTTTTTCTTCTTCTTCTTCTTCTTCTTCTTCTTCTCTCTCTCTCTCCTCTCCTCTCATCTCCTCTTCCCTCTCTCCCCCCCCTCTCTCTCTCTCTCTTGCTCTCCCTTCCTCCCTCCTTCCTCTCCTTAGTTTCCAGCGACGTGTCTTATGTCAAACGGCGCTGTCAGATCAGACACGGTTATCGATCTAAAGATCTCTTCTGTCCAATATTTCATTTACATGTTTTGTCAAAGGACGTGAACGCGCCTACCCACTGAGCTTATCGGATTTCATAACCTGTGGCGTCTGGACCTTATACATGTAGGCCTATATAAATTATTATATAAGTAAGTGTTGTAACCTGTCAGTGATTAAAGACTAATCGGTGTGTACTGCTGTGCCAAAAAAGCTACGCACACATGTTGCGAGGAGTCATTGAACCAATAATACAATTGTTTACGGTACTGAGTAGTTTCTTACGGGTGTTGATTTTAGTTTAGTTTTAGTAACAGTTTTACGGCACTTGCAATACCATAAGATCATAATATAGGTGCCGAAAATTAGACGTGTTACTAGAGAGTAACATACAACGAAAAGACGAAGGAGAGATAATGACGATGTATGATGGGGAAGAAGGGCTAAACCACACCAGAGCTGCAGTCGACCACCCATAGAATGT